GGACAAATGTATGCTTATAGATCTTAGAATTTAAGAGGTACTTTTAAGAGGGAGTATTGGAAGCTGCTTAACTCCAGTGCTCTAATTTGCTAAATATGCGGTAAAAGAAAAGGGAGAGAATTGGTCCTCATGTTAAGAGAAGTAAATGTTAGGGGAATAATGTTTATGCTGAGGGATTCACAGAAATCGCTGAATTCAGTGGAAGGGTAACATCAAAACAACTAATTCCAGAGTTCTCAATTGCTGGCTCAGACTGTCATCTTTCTGTTGGTTCAAGGTCATTTATAGTTAAATGTCTGTGAATCCCAGGATACAGGGAATATTAATTCTTGCATAGTGATGAAAGATTTCCTCTCCTTCCCCACAATCCCTTTGAAATAATGCAGTTTTTAAAGTCAGACAGGATGATGCTAGAAATATAGCAGTACTAGTTGTGGAGATCATCTCTGTACTAAACTGCCAGGTGAATTGGGAATGAGGCTGTCTACCAAAACCACCACTGTGAGGTGAAAAGTTTTTCCCTCTGGCTAAAGAGTATTACCAAAGAAGCAAAAAAACTAGAAAAGTCTTTGGAACCTTTGCAAGAGGAGAGCAACTATTTATAGCGTGTCAGAGTTTGTCTGGCATGATTTACTGTCTGGGAATTCTTCTTTCTTTTACTTATATCTCTGGTTTCTTATCTTCTAAACATGAAACAAGTTGCTAACATCCTTCTTTTGTTGCTTTGGTATAGTGAGAGAGCAGAGGAGGGGAAAGAAAATTATGCTGGAGTAAGCTAGGAAAACCAGCATTTGGGCAGCATCTATGAGTTTATCATAACGGATGGCAAGACCTCATGTACAAGAATCTTTGAAGAGTATGTCTTCATGCTTCATTATTGAATTAGTAAATGGGGAATGAGAATTGTGTTCTGTATTTGGATAGTTGTTTTTCTTTACATTTTACTCCCTTAAAGGATTCAAAACCATGGCTGCTGTAATTACTTAGGGGAAGGTGTCCTCTCCTTCCTTCTCCTTCCCCATAGCTTCCTTGTGATTTCTTACTGGAGATCAAGAAGTGCCCTTGCCCCCAAATTCCATGTGGTACATACAGCTCTTTCAGAAGCCTGTATCAAAAGCAGGCATTTATCAGTATTGCTTTCTACTTCCCAGAAACTGCCTAATTTTTTTCTCAGAAATTATTGTGGAGGATGTTTGTGATCTCTGCAGAAGAAAAATATGGTATGTAAGTAGATTAGATGAGAGGAAAATTGACAGAGAAAACCAGCTTTGTACAGATCTTGGATTTAAATATGCAACAGTAGTGCCATGTTCATCTTTGTCTCCATTTTAAAAACCCTGAAGTTGTTGTTATGTGAAGGATGGAGATGCCCAATCAGGTATTTGAAATTCTTAAGTCCCTTACCCTTTTTGAAACTTCTTCGATGGCTGAACATTCTCATTAGAGCAACATTTCCACTCCATAACCTGATTTGAACTGTGTGCTTTGTTGGTCATAACAAAGGGAGGATGGTCATGAATCTTAAATCTGATGAAGATCCCAAGGCTGAGAACTTCTACGTTAGACCTCCCATAAGCAAAATTGAAACCCCCATGAGGCAGCTGTCAGCAAGTTTGCCATTTTTTTAAACCATGTCTGTTTAACAGGTGTGTGTATGTTTGAGGGAACGTTAAAAGCCTTCTTCCCAGAGAGAGGCAAAATGAGACCCAGAGGCAAATCCCTAGTTTTCTGAAGTCCTTGGGAACTGGTTCCAGTGCAGTCATTATAATCCAGCAATTAGCAAGCTAAACAGAAAGAGCTGAAATCCTGTCTTGAATTATGATGTGAGCCCCTCTAAAGCTCAGAATTTTGAGTAGGAAGCATGCACTGAATTGGAGTTCAATTTCTGCTCTTCTCAAAACATTTCTCACCAATAAATCTAATTATTATTGCCTTGCAGTGAATCTCACAAACAATGCGCTTGGCTGCCTGGTCCACCCACACAAAGTGAAAGAATATGTACATTTTAATTATCAGATTATTTCAATGTTGTACAAACACTGTTTCATATTAAGTATTTTTACAAACCAGTGACATCTGTATTCAGTAATGAGTGGATAGTATTTTTCCCTTGGATATTAATGTCTGTAATTAGTATCTTTAAGAAACCTTGATACTATATGTCATGCCAGTCTCCCCTAAGTAAGGTCACTGTGGAAGTGGGATATTATTTCTTCTGTCATTCCTTGACTAACATTTTCATCATCTATATAAAATATCTGCTGAGTAAAGTTTTCAAGGTGAAATTATATAACGGCTCTTGAATTTTTAAAATGCAGCTGGGGAGAAAGGCTTCATATCACCCTGTTTCTAAAACCCCTTCTGCTCCATATGTTTTAGTTGCAAATTTTATAAACCTTTTTAAAGTGACATAACTTTGTAAATGTTTAAGAAGCAGGGTAGAAACTGTGGCTCTCGCTCTTGTAAACCGATGTTCAGAAGCTCCCGAGTGCACGTAATAAAGTGACTCCACATGTGAGGTGTTTGGGTGTAGGCACAGGCTGGGACATTCTGCTTTGCAGCATTGAGTAGTCACTGTTTTGCAGTTGCCTCCTGAGCAGACTTGGGACTTGTATCACTTCTCTTCTAATGTAGACCTGGGGAAGTCCTGCAGCTGTGGCCCAAATTAGGACAGGCCTGTCACTGCTTTGATTTGTGCTAGTGCTGGTTGTGCTGACCCATAGGAGAGCTGTCACCAGCTCCCTGGTGCCTCCTGCTTTCCCTGCAGTCATGCTGCTGATGGGGAGCTGAAAAACCACCACTGGGTTTAGTTTGTGTCTATTTCTGCAACCTTCACTATGGACAGTGTCTCTTACATATCTGGCCTTTTTAATTCACTTTTGCATGGTGAGATGACAAGGATGGGTGGAGTTCAGTTGCAGATATACTGACTGTCATGGTGCATGTTGTCCCACTGGCACATATATTTTTTCTAGAAGCACCTGTGAGGTTGGAATATATGTAGAAGAGGAAGAAGATGATGTGCCAGGTAGGTTCCTTGTGGGGTTACACTTGGATTTCCAACATGTGCAGTATGCTACTGGGAATACCAGCTGCTTGCAATGCAGGTAGCATTCTGTGAAAGAGAGGAGTAAGATGCTATTAAAACCTGAGATACCACTTGTTCTGAACAAATAGGTGTCAGAGAGGTTCATTCTGAGGGATGCTAGTCACCTTGTGACAGCAAAGCCCAGTGGTGTGTTCCTTCCTGTATCTAAGAGCTGAATTACCCGTGTCTTTATTTCTGAGAGGGATGAGGTAATGGTTCAAGCTCCAGACAAAGTTTATTGATTCCCATCTTTGCTCTGAGACAAGCTTCCTTCTGGCTTTAGGCAAATTGTGCGTTTTGAATTGTAAAATGGCAACTGTTTCCTTACTTTTATTGATCATACCTGATGCTCTAGGTAAGGGGAAGCAAGAGGAAGAACATAGGGCGTGCCATTGCTTTTCTTCAGACCACACATCAGGGTGTGCTTTTCAAGCGACAGGGTTTGCTCTCTGCTGCCGTGGAGCTTAGATCTTTGATTATGAAACCCCTCTTAGTATGAGCATGGCTGGTGTACATCTGTTTTTCCATCTTCTCAGACTCCCTTCTAAGCAAATTCCTAACCAGGCTTTTAAATGCAGTAGCAAGAGGTGGACCTTCAGTTCTGTGGAGAAAGGAGTCAGCAGGCACAGCCCGATTTGATGTGGCAGGAGGGAGGGGAAGTGCTGATGTCTGGTGGGAAGCTGCCATGCAGGGAATTGCAGCAGGCACCAGACCCAGATGCCTGTGCTGGTCAGAGTTCTGGTAGGGAGAGCCTCTGGGGGCCAGGAGGAGATGCCTGGGACTCGATAGGAATAGCTGTTATTTTGACTTTACAAGCTTCTGTTGCCGCTCTCCTGTATTATGGAAAGGCCATGACTATTTAATGTGCTTCTGAGCAGGAACACTGAGTCAGAGAGGCCTGCATGTGTCTTGGGACTATGTGGAAGAGTTTAGGAGGAAAGGGGCATGCAAGGAGAAATTCTAAAAGAATAAAACTTCTCCTTTCTCAAGGATGAGAAAATCTGAGTGCATCAGGGATCATTAGTGAGGAAGGTTTAATCATGATAGAAACTGTGGTTCGGGTGGGATGGGCTGGGAGACTGTGATAGGGTAACTTCTTTTGCCTCCTCATCAGCTGACTAGGTCTTCGTACCACCATCTCAGACCAGAGCTTTCCTCGTTCTCATTTAAACCATCTGAAATGTGGCAGCCATGAGTATGTGCTGTAAAAAGCAATGTTTGCAGAGCACATTGAATCATAACAGCTGTGTAACTGCTAATCTTAATAAGTGTCCTCATTAATAGTAACCTAACACCAGGAAGACAGCAAGAGTTTTACAGGCTTTCTTTCTAAGAAATATCTTGCTTGGAGTACCCACTGAACAGTGTATTCATCTGCAGTTGCTTGCTCCACCCTTTGTATGGTGGGGTCCCAGTTGTATTCTTGTATGTCCTGGAATTGCAGAAGACATAGAACAACCTACCAGGCAGATTACTTTAGCTGCACAAACCTCTCTGAGTAGAGTTGACCTAAAATGTTAATGTACTGGAGGATAAGATCTTTATGATCTGTCTTACTGGGACATGGTTATGTGCAAGGAAAACTATAGCAGAATTCTTGTATATTGAGAGGGCAGAGTTAAAATAACCAGTGCATTAACAGCTAAGGAAAACTTTCTTGTGCACAGCCAGGGCTGGCTCTTTGGTGTGTTTCCTCTGAGCGTAGGAAGGGCATGTGTTTGTGTGCACATGTGCACACAGGTGTCTGTGTGTGGAGGTGGGAATAAAGTTGCTAACTTGTTGCTAACGTGATTCTTTTCTCCATAGTACTTCCTTGTACATGTCACTGAAATATCTTGCTTGGACTCTGTAACAGCATTGTCTAATCAGCCTTTTTTATTTCCTCCTTCTCTCTCTCCCACTTCTCTTCCAGTCGGCATATGCTGTGTCAGTGCTCAAAGAATGTGCTAAACTGCGACCTACGGATCCCACCGTTCCTCTTCTGGCTGCCAAGGTCTGCATTGGGTCGCTGCACTGGGTAAGCAAGCTGATGCAATTCTTATTATGTAACAGATCAGGTTCTGCAGTGGCAGTGCCACAGTGTAGTTGCAGTGGGAAGAAAGGGAATCCCTGCTAAAAATCATGCGCATGTGTACCTTTTAAAAAAGTGTAAATCCCAGCAAGAAATTTTGCAGTGAGTCGTTGAAATGTGTTTTACTGGCATATTAAAAAAAGGAGGAGGATGGAAAGCTGTAAGAGCCATGCTGAGGACTGCTTCTTCAACTGAATGTTGTGTTGAATTGGCCACTCTTGTAGCCCCTGAAAGAAAAAAGTTAATAGTTATAAGTGGACTGTTAGACAGTTTGAGTCCACTGGACAACTCAGTCCTGTATTCTTGAAGTTGCTGTATCAGTGTTTTGTGCTCTGGATGTGTTAATGTATGCCCCAGAAGAAGAGTGGGAGTGGAAGTTGGTGCCTGTGATTATCCAAAGGAGCAGAAACATGTCACTCTTTTGCTACTCGGTTTAATTAACTAAATAGCAACCTGCTGTTCTCACCTGTCCTCACCACGAGGTGTCCCTGCAGTCAGTGAAGGATTACAATTGCTAGTAGAAGTAAAACAAAGATGCAAGAAAACATGAAAGAAAACACTAAAAGAATCTGCCCAGATTTTGGTGAAAAGTTCTTTCACATTTGCTTTTGTTGTGCCCTCTTACCCCTGCCTCCCCATCCTCTCCATCCCTATGTGGTGAAAGCTGGTGTTCAGCTAAACTTGAGTTCTGTCAGTTGACACCACCATGAGGAAGGCCATCTGGTTATGTATGTTTTTGAATGAACTAAACTGTTCAGACTGTAATGGTTAAACTTATATATGAGTCAGCAAGAACTGGGCAGCATCTTGTTCTAGGAAAAATCTTCCAGGTCTGAGGGCATTCAGGGAATCCTTCCTGAGCTACCCAGCCTACCTCTGCTCTACATATGAGCAATTTAGCTTTGTACCCATAGCTCAGTATCTAAATTTTGAGGGCTGAAAGTCATTCAGTGATATAAAATAACATTCACAGTCAATATTATTTTTTAAAATGAAGCAAATAAGGTTTTTTTCTGTTCTTATAGATGTAAAACAATGTGAAAGTCGGGCATTACAAGTGTGTTGACCAGGCTTACTAATGTCTCTGATGAAGTTTTCAAAGCACAGCTAGCATATAAAAAAATACCTTGTTATAGAGACACTTAGAAAAGACAGTGAGGCTGTAATTCAGTTCCACCTCTGTCCTTGGGCAATCCCATGTCTTCAGACTTCTCATATATGGCAGAGCTGGTAAAGCAAAAGGCGAACCCTAAAAAATAAGAAAGGGAAGAAGGGAAAAATGAGCTGGTTTTGACTATTGCAAAGCAAGAGGGTTTTTTCTTTTATCTACTGCTTTTTCAGTGTTACTTAATCAGACTGTGGCTTAGAACTGGAGTGCAGTATGAAATGAAAACATGATTTCACAAGAGGGTAATTTTACTGCAGTTATCTAGAGCACAACCTTATGAACTAAAACCAAATTAAAAATATTCCTCTCCCCTCTTCCTTTCAGTCACTGGCCTGTGATCTACCCTCATATGAAACTTGATGATGGAATAGAAGAGTTTTAATTAAGGGGAATCAGAGGGAAATCAGAGCATCTTTTAAAAGAACTGAAATGATAGGTTCCCACATCTCACAGTCAAAGGGATGCTTCTGATATTACTGCCAGACTCCTGTGACTAATAAAGACCTTCCTGCTTAGCAGAGCTGTTTTTCTAAATGTCATCCTTACAGTAATTATTTGCATTTAAATTACATGGCAATCAAATCAGAATTGAATAATTTAAACTGGAAGTGAACAAGTTGATCAATGCCAGTATAAATAGAAAGGAGGGATAGACATGGCACGAGAACAGTCTAATGGACAAATATTAACAGTTGCAGATACTCAAATACGTCTTGCTTTTCAGAACATATAAAACATGATTAATTTCTCAATTAGGAAATATATCTATGTATTTGATTGCTGGCTAGGCAGGAAAAGGGTGAAATCAGATCAACATTTATCCAAATTAAACAGCTGATTTATGTCCTGCATCTGTCTACTATATGCTTTTGGTGCAGTATTATATCCAGTTTGTTTATAGCCCATGGGCAAACAGTACTTAGTCTTTTTTCAGTTACTAGCAATAGAGATAACCCCAAAACACAACATTTATGCAGCTGGATAATTACAGAATGTCATAAGGAGCACAGAACAGTTTCTTTCATGATTAATCTAGTGATCACTTAACTCATTTTGTTGGCTTTGTACATGATGTCTCAGCACACTTTAAAAACCAGGGGAAAAAACATTAATTGAAATGTAGTGTAGTGATTTACAACACTGAGGATGCTCAGATCACATCTATGAAATAATCCCTCAATGGAGAACAAATCAAAGTGAAAACATGCATACATTCATACAGTGCCATGCAAATCAATGTATAACAGAGCCTGATGCGGAAAAGAACTGAACCGCCCCCAGCTTCTGTTGTGACAGTATGACCAGATTATTAGCTGATGTAAGTTGGCACTACTCCACTGGCATATTAGTGGCACCATGCTGGCTTACATCAGGAGATGATCTGCCCTATCAACCACTAGCTTTTAGGATGGGGCCTGCAGTAAACAACTGAATGGTATAAGCAGTGTTTTGGTTACCTTTTTCAGAATTATAGTTTTTCAAAATCTTTTAAAAAATAAAAAATAAAAAAAGGTGTAAACAGTAAATCAATACTTGATTAATTCTAAAGCTTAAGCCAGTAGTCTTGGAGGACCAGAAAAGCTCCAAAACTAGTGCACCTATATAAACCACATTTGTATGGTCAGGATGCAGTCAGACCTGTACCTAATACAAATACAGAAGTTTTCAGCAAAGTTTGAATTTTTATATGCTGTATCTAGCCCATTACACAGGTGTTACAAATGTGTTTGTAGTGGGCTCAGAATTACTTTTGAGGCGTCATGCTGCTGAGCCTTCCAGTTTGCTGGAGTTTTGGCATGCGGTTTGCTGAATTTGCACGTGGATGATTTCTGTCATGTGAACACAAAGCCCATTTGTGTTTAGCCAGCTGTCTTTTAGCTTTCTAGAAGCTTTGGCTTCTAGAGGCACTAGGAAGTCTTTGAGTAGTGTAGTTCAGAGTATTGTTTTAAATTTTCATAGGAAAAAAGTTGAAGTAGCTTTCATTGGAATATGTCCATATTGAGGTTGTCCTGCCTTGCTCCACTATAAATTCAGAGTTCCGCTTACTAAAAGGCTTGCTGCAATTTCCTCTTTCACTCAGCCTTCCCTGGCGCGGCCTCAGCTGAATGCTCACTTGCCTATTTTGGCAGTGACTTTGAGTTGCAGCATGAGTTGTTGTTTTTAATATTTTAATAGTACAGTACTGTTAATTTCACTACTAATCTAGGTTCTCCAGGATCCTGTTATGGCAGGTCTTGTGAAAATACTAAAAAAGGAACTTCTGCCTACAGGCAAGTGTTAGATATTGAATTTCTCCATTTTAGGAGCCTTATTTAAAGCATTTAGGATTACTCTGATGCTTTCCTGTGTCTTTTATTCTATTGATTTCAATGGAGACACATTAAAAACTTTGTAAATACACACAGAGCGAAAAGGATTGCAGTGCTGGGATAGGCTTGAATCTTCTGGAACTCTGCTCTGACAGAAACCAGGACAACATGAGGCATGTTCTTACTATTTTCATTGCACCACAGTTGATACAATAGCAATAGTGGTGTTATGTAGAACTCCTGTAGCACTGAATGATGCCAGAATTACCAGCTGGTATGAACTTTTAAAGGGACTTTGTCCCATGGCGAAAGCTGAAGCAGAAGATGGTGCTGTGCCTGAGACTTTTCCCTCATTTCTTTCAACTAATATGCACAGCGAAGTGTTCTGCTCCAGCACTTTGCTGGGAAGACAGGGAATGTCAGGGAAAGGGAGAAGTGTGGTGTTGGGCCAGGGCAGACCATGCATGGAGTTGTAAAAACTGAGTAAGACTTACCGTGAGGTCAGGACGTCATGGTGTGTGTGTGTGTCAGGGGAGGCTGGCAGGATGTAGATTTAGAGCTGCATACTTCTGAGGTAATAGCTTATCGTTCATTACTTTCAAAGACCACTTAATCAGAGAGTGCTTCTCTCTCCTTCTGTCTGTTGTTGACCCTGCCACTGTAGATAATAAGTGCTGTGCATGTGCTTGTACCCAGTCACTTAGGAGCCCTGGAGTTGCCTGGAAATGCTTAGGTCTCATTGCAGTATGAATATTATTGAAAGATCAAATCTAGTCCTGTTCCCAGATTTATTCTGCCTGCTGAGTGGACATTCTAGAGGACTGACATCCCTGGGGTGAGAGGCTACTGAGAAAGCAATGAATGGCAAGGACCTACTAGAGATTTCTTATGTCTTTTAAAAGACATTCTTGCTTACATCCCCACTACTGTTACTGGAGCAATCCCATGGGTTTTAAACATTAAAAATTACCAAGAATTTTTCCTTCCATGCATCTTCTTTATGAACAAACCACTCTCACTGCAGTGGAGGAAAGGCATGAGTATTCCTAAGTGCTGGGGGCTGAGCTTAGACACAGAGTAAGTTGTTGGGCTTTGCAATGGTGACACAAAGAGAAAATGCTGACTGGACCAACCATAGAAAACACAGGATTTTTTTTTTCTGACACAGGTAACATATCATTAGCTCTATATGCTGTAAACATCTGTGGGGCAAAACCTTTTCATTAGAGTATGCCTTATTGACCACTTTCTTCCTATAATTTTTCCACTTAACATTCTCTTTTCACAATATTTATTTTATTCTCTTTGAATTAGTCTCTATACCTACAACCCAGTGTCATGAAAATCAAAAGAAGAGATCAATTCAACAAGGTAATATCATGTGTAATTTTGCATAGATACCCTTTTTGTAGGATTTGGGTCACTTAAGTACTTGGGTATCATTTGGTGTCACAGGTGTCCAAACTCACCTACTACACTAACCTTCTCTGCTGTCCTAAGTCCACAGTCATTTGATGTATTTTCTGCCTCTTCCCTTGTGTGCTCCCCTTTTTTGGCACAGCAAGGTGCCATTTTCATGCTGCTGTACGTCATCAATTTGTTTATCTTCAGTTATTCTAAATGTGTGCTGGTGAGAACTGCAGCTCTCACTTAGTCCTGGAGGGTGTTGATTCAGTGGGGTAGGGCTTGAGCTTTTCTAAAAACAAGCTGGTGGCAGTTGGAAACCAGCTGGGTGGCACTAGGCCAGGGGACAGCACCTGCTGTTCTCCACTCCCTTGTCAGTATGCCTCTGGGCTTGGCTGGAGCACACACCAAAAGCTGCAGTCAAGTAACAAGGGTGGCTGGAACAGCCAGTTTCTGTACCGGAGGAAACATCCCTCAGGGTAACACAGCTAGCAACTGTTCTTTTTCTATCAAACATGATGGAGGCAGTAGAAGGGGAAAAAAACCAACCAGCCTTACAGTATTACCACCTCATTGGTGTGAGTTCAGTTTAGCAGTCTGTCTCTCTCCACGTGCCAGGTGTCTGCCTGTTTCTGGTGTGGTGGAGAGGTTGCTTAGCTAGTGCTTCCAGGTGCCTCCTGACAGTTTATATAGCTTGAGTTCAAAGTGCAAAAAGTTCCTCTTAGGTTCTTTTTCCTCCATACATGCTTTCTGAACTTTCTTCCATGCAAGTCTTGGAGGCAGGGAACTTCTCCCTGCAACCTGGGATGCTGCCCTTCTCTCCATCAGCTTTTCAGTGCCAGGTATGCAGAAGTCTATAAGAACAGTAAGGGCCAAATTGGAGGTATATCTGTATGGCTTTGAGACTTTGTTTCTTGCTTGCTTCTGAGAGAATAAGAAGTGGCGACACTAAGGAAACTGAATTCTAGCTGTTACTGGCCCAAAAAAGTACTTTTTCTATGGTGTTGGGAGCTGCTAGCAACTAGGTAACAGCAGAACACTGTGCATTTCCTAATCACAAAGTGATGCTGTGCCATGCCTGCTGTGCAGAAGCTTACTGGCAAGGGCCTGTAAATTGCAACAGGAAGTTTTGATGATGTTTCTTGCCCTTCCAATGCAGTATTATGTCACCTTAACATTGGAGTACTCTTCTGAAGTGAATGAATCACTTAGGTGCCCTTCATACTGAGGCTGGCTCCTGGCTGTGCAGCAGGAGTAGGAATGGACATTTTGATTCTCTTGATAAGCTTTCTGCCACTCAGCTCACTTCTGTGTACCTTGAACTCACAACTTCTGTGAGTCCCACAGGGTGAGATTTTACATACCTGGCACCACATGGGGAGAGGAGAAAGAGGGAGCAGCTCCTTCTTCAGTTCATGTGGCAACATGAAGGAGAATGGTTCTATCTAATGGGTTACTGAAGGGGTTGATGCCTCATTTGATGGCTTCCCCTTTCCCTTTCTCATCACTGCAATACAGAATGGAGACATCTCATGTCTTTAAGGACCCCCACAGACACAGCTTTACTGGCAGATCACAGCTCAGGCTCATTGCTGGTCCCTCACTTGGGTGTATGGAGAGGGAGTTTTTATCCAGACTGCAATCTGGTATTCCTTGCAGTTTAGTTGGTAGCTCCAAGTATGTCCCAAGGAGGTTATTTCTGTTTGAGATAGGAGTTTCCAGATTCACAGTTGACTAGGTAATCAGGAAGACTGATGCACTGCAGAGTTGAACCTCACAGTGGGTGATGTGAGTGAAAGGTTTGGCTTTTCACACTTGCCCAGGATGATTGAAGAGTAGGAAGATGGGAGAAGAGGGGGCAGATGGCTGCCACAGCAGGGCTGGCGGGGTAAGTGTCTCAGTGCTGAAAGAAAGAAAAGTAAATGTTCTCATAAACAGAACCAGCTGTGCTGCAGTTTGCAAGGCCACTTATTTTCAAAGCAGACTTCAGCTGACCTAAGTTTGCATTCATAAGAATCTTTGTGGCTAGTCAAAGTGCCATTAGTGTTTAATATGAATAAATGTTTACAAGAATGTGCTGGAAGTGCTGTTTCAGCCATTCTGAAAAGTTGTAGTTTTAGATTAATCCAGGTGGCCCTGGATAACTGGCAGGCAAGAAGGCTGAATGGTGTACTGCTGATTTATGCAGCATAGGCCATCAGTCAGAGGCTGGAAATACCATCAGGTGACCATTCAGAGAAACAATGGAGCAAAATCTCTCCAATTTAAATGTCGCCATTTCAGCTCCAAACCTGTCATTTAATCTTTTTCTTCATACACTCTACCCACCCCTACCCTTGTTCACTAGTCATTAGAATTCCTTGTATAGTTCTTTTCTTCATTTAATGGAGACTTCTTGACTCAAAGTGTGTGTGTGGGGAGAAAAGGATAAACAATGAAGAAAGAGAGTGGGAACATAGCTGTTTATGGTGGCAAAGAGGTGCATAATGAATTTTTGGGCTGCAGAGATTTCATGTCTTACATAAAAGTTCCTGAGAGCTGAAGAATTAAGTTTTTTTTTTTTCATAGGAGGGATTTTTTTTGTTGGTTTGTAGGTTTTGTTTTTTGGTTTGTTTTTTTTCTGTGTGGGAAGTCATGGGACATTTTCTTCTCCTATTGTCCTAGGCTCTGGTCCAGAACACACTTCAGTTTGTGGCAGGGAAGTCAGTAGGGCTACTGACAATATTAAGAAATCTCTTGAAATGAATCTGTCTTCCTCATGTGATCAGAGTTTAAAGGGTCTCATCTGAACGTCACTGAAGTCAGTAGGACTATTTCTGGTGGTTTGGGTAGACTTTGGACTCAAAGACAGTCCTAGTAGTTTTGTTTGTAGCCCAGGTATTCCCCAAGGGGATATTCTTGTTTCAGTTAGTAGTTTCCAGATTAATAGTTGACTGGGCAATGAGCAAGACTGTAATGATTTCAAAGTGCTTTCAGGAAAGAGTTTGATGATAACATATACATTGGTTATTGGACTGACTGATCTGAGATTTCAGAAATTTGGGGACTATTAGTCTACATCTAGTTTGAATTGTATGGCCTCAGGGAGTTTAATAAATCCCAGCTCCTTTGTTTATAAAGCCATTAGTTAATGTTGTCACCTGAATGTCTTCAGGTGATTTGACTTGGAGGCCCATTGACAGGATATTATGTCAAGTCAAGTAGATTCTGTTCATAGGTAGCATATTAACAGATCTCTGTGAAAGGGAAATTTATAGTCTGCTGGTATATTTTGATTCCAGTTTGTTATGGGTGAGTAGTTTTAGATGTTAAGGAGCCGTTAGGTACTGAAGTCTGATGAAGCTGAGCGTTAAGAGGACACACGTCTGCAGGACTTGTGCCTAAACCACATGGCTTTCAAACAAAAAAGTACTTTCTCAAAATTAAACAACCCCATTCCTTAAAGTCAGTTGTCATGTAATAAAAGTTTCCAAAAGGAGGATTTTTCCAATAGCATAATGATGTTTGCATCTTGATTAGGGATGACTCTCATAGTTGACAGGAACTGCATACTGTCTTGTACAGAAAGGAGATCTTCCTGTAGGCTCTGTCTCTCAGGCATTACTTACAGCTTTGCCTGTACCTCTCCAACCTGCACCTTTCTAGCTATGTACAGTCTACAGATCTTAGTCCTTTCTACTTATAACGAGTGAGTGATGGTAGTGAGAGTCTAAAGTTAGAAATAAGAAACACTGTTCTGTAATAGTCAATTTATTCTTTTTGTTTAAAATTACCATTAACTCAGATTTTACAGATGCTAATAAATCTGTGTGGACAGCTGGAAAGGAAAGTTGTGGGGAGGAGAATGTGCTGAAATTAGTGCTTTCTTGTTTTACTCTAGTAGCATTTTAAAAGGCGGTAAAATTTGCTAAGGTTTTAAAAAATCATAAATATAAAACTGGATGGTGTTTCCTTTGAAGGAAGAGACCATTAGACCTTTCAATGTACTGCTAGGAGAGTCCATCTAGTCCAACGTGTATTTAAGGTTGCCTAATGAAGTGTGTCTGAAGGGAACTATATAAGTAAGATAGTGTCCTTGATTAATCTTAAACATCTGGAAATAGTTTGGGGTGCAAAACAAAAACTTTTCGCAAAACTGTTCATGTGCACCAAGGTCTTCTAATCTGACCTTCTACATCGTCCTTTTTGTGACTGTTCACTGAGATCACTGAAAGCCCTTGTGTGAACAGCTCTCAGATCACTTACAGGTAAGTTTAGTGGTATAATCTTATTGAAGCAAGTATAGAGGAAATGCCTGTAAATCTCAACCTACCTCTTTTGCAGCTGGAAGAAGGAGAACACTTTGCTAAAATGGTGATAGACCTGGGTGAGGATGCTGGAGAGTCCCTAGCAAAGGGGTACCTGGCACTGGGCCTGACATACAGTCTTCAAGCTACTGATGGTGAGTTACCCTGTTTGTCAAGTGCGTTGTATGGAGAGCATTTGTTCAAAGTCTTCAGTGCAAGCAATGGAAATTTGTTAGAAAATCTGCTTTCAGTGCTGACTAGACATGAAAAACAATCAGATTGCAAGATAAGTGGAGATTGTTCACTTGCTCAGAGAACTGTGGTAGTAAAAATGAAGTTTTTAGATAAAGGAAGAAATGCAGATCAATACTTAGGTGATGATAATCTGAGTGTAGCTGACAGTGCTTGGTGTGCTTTACTTGAATATTCATAATACATTTTTTTCACTTGTTTACACAACAAAAAGTCAGACTTTCCATCTATTTTCATATTTTTGTCACCCACTCATAAATCACAAAGAAATACAATCCAAGAACTGGAGTCAGAGATGCCTGACTTCAGTTCCTGGCATGGTACTGATTCCCCACAGAGATTCAACCTCTCTGTGATGTCGTTTCTTTCTCTACTTAGAAGTAAACAAGATAAAAATATCTACCTCACTGGTAAGTGTGGATGTTGACTAGAAGCAGACCACTGAATGTAAGAAGTATTCTATTTAAATGCTGCTTGCTTGGGTCTTGAATGACTGGACAACAGGCTTCTGCAGGCTTCTGGTGCTTGGTAGCCAGAAGGGCTTGAAGTCTCAGTGTTTAGGAGAGTTCTAGCTCTGACCTTCATCAAGCTCACAGGTGGGAACAGTCTTTGTTTATTCTATGACTTTTAACATAGGTAGAAGGCCTTATAATGTAGTTTCTTTGAATAATGGCTGGGCTAGTGTGTTTCTTAATTGGTTTGGCAGTCCTGCCCTCATGCAAACGATGACTTTTCTGTCAGATGGGTTCCACAGAAACAAACCAACTTCTTCCAGCAAAGAGGCCTGAAACAAAGCTAAAATGACCGTATTATGGTGTCATGGAAGTATGCCGGCCTTGCAAGTTACACTAGAATTCTCCAAGACATGTGCGTGATAAAGGGGCTTGTGCTCTTCAGTAGTGCAAGTTGATGTAGTTTTTCAGGCAGCCATATCTGATCAGCTGTTCTGAGAACTGATTTTCATCCTGGAGGATAACAGGCACTCTAGCTCTCTCCAGTTCCCCTTTTCTCTGCCTCAAAATAGTTCTCCTTAGAAAGTTCATGTCAAAAAATGCATCCTTCCTAGCCTGTACTTTCTCTTACATATTTTTTTAAGTTAATTAGAAATAGAGTCATGCTTAACAGCCTATTATTTTAGGGCATTTTTTCTAGATTTTGTTTAAATTGTTCCTATAGCTATACAAGATTCCAATTACTATTTTCAGAGATAGGAGGTTTTCTATGTTAGTCCCTTATGATCTATTTGTTATCCTCAGTATGAAAAGAAGGTGGTTTCTAAAGAATGGAGTTGTAGAGGCATGTGCTGTACTCTGGCTTTAAAAATACTTTGGTGTAGCAAAATTAGAGTTGGAAACTCTTCTGGTAGTCTCTGAGTTTTCAAGAGATTAGTTCAGTATTGTGTCCATTTTAATGTAAAAAACCCCAGTCTTTACAACAACTGCCTTGGATTCTTTTCCAGATCAGCATCTGATTTATGTTGTGAAACAGTGGAATGTCTGTCTCCTCTCATATCTCTAGCCTTTAAGTCAACAGGACCAGTCAGTTATTTGAGGGAAATAGGAAGAGTGTATTTCCATCTTTCAGATTATATTTTAATAAAATGGATTAGGTCCTTCAAAAGCATACGTATGATGGTCATGAATATGGAATTAGAAAATGTCAAATTTGCACTAGCAAGACATTTTTCATTAGCATCGTTAAAAAAATAGCATATGACAATAAGGAAGCAAGGCTAGAACATACTGAAAGGAAGACAACAGCTTCTCTCCCATATGTAGTCCTGCCTCATATTGTCAATCTTGTTTATCATTGTGTTTATACCAGTTCATAGTGACATATGCAGGCACAGTCAAACATCTGTATGTATACATATGATTTCTATTAACTTTCCACTTGAGTTGACTTTCAGTGAATCAGCATTTTTCAATGGTAGCTAAGTGTTTCGGAGATATTTGACCAATTGCCTTCTAAAGCTTACAGCAGTATATCAAGATGCCTTCCATCCAAGGTTAGACTTTCTTATTTAATATATCCTTTCAGTAATTATTTCTCCTCCTCTGTGACAAAGGCACCGAGGAGTTGTATTAAAGCCCTTTCTTTGTGACCTGCAAAATGCACTTGGTAAAAAACAGAGTCATAAGAGAGAATCCTGCTGAATGACAATTCAAAGAACTTAGTGGAAGCATTTGATAAAAAGTCACTCTACAACTATTAGATTTACTCATGGAGGAAATAAGACTTTCTGAAGGTTATGCTGGGTAGCAGTATATAGCTTCCCTGTTTTTGATGTCTAATTACAGGTTTCTTAAAAAAAGTTGCATTGAAGTAGCTGAAAGATGTATCCTTAGGGGAAGTCATTGGCACTTTTGTCTCACTCTTAGAAGCATAAACCTCTGGTTTGTACTGAATGTCCATTTTCTGCAGATCTATTCCCAATGGGTCAATACCAACAGCAAACCTTTTCTCTTCCTCTTGTAGTTCCAGTTCTGACATAAGCTGTATTATCAAGTTTGCCTCCCTTAGGTCTGGTGAAGAATCCCTTGAAGCCAGGGAAAAGTGAGATGAAATTAATGAAAGCTAAAGAGTAAAGACTGGGTTGAGGATGTATTATGAAATACAAGTGCTCTTATCTCACATCACCACCTCACAGGTTGTGAAATCTTTGTAGATTTAACAGTCTCTCACTCTTTTTTCAGAGATGGACTGTGCTGTATCTCTGTGTTCATTTAGAGTTTTGGTAGAAGCCCATGGATCAGGGGCTAAATTGGAAACTGATATTCTGTCAGTCCATGGGGATTTTACAAACAGCATACTGACAGCATTGGTTAATGTTAAAAGACCCTCATATTTGTTCACTAGAAAGTTAATAAATTGTTAGTGAACAAACTCATCATTTTTGCTTTTGGAGATAAGAGCACATACAATCTTTAATTATAATTCTGGATGCTAAAACTGTGTGCCTTGCCGTATTTATTAGGGGTCCTAACACAAGGGAATAGTTTTGAAACCCACTGATATTTGCAAAAGGGTGCATGCACATCAGTGTTTCAGTTTGGATCAGAAATGTATTTTTGAAGTCCCATCTGTCTGTCATCCCTGCTTCTTATGTTGTGATTCACATAATGGAACAGTTTTGCACATTACAGGCTGAATTCTTTCCCATAAAACTAATATGTTACATAAATAGCTCTGATTATGCTTCAGCTGCTAATGGGTACTCAGTCCATTGGACAAGACTAGAAGATGCCTGTCCCCATGTTTGTAGTGTTGATACTGATCCTCAGCATTAAGTGTTTCACTGAGAACGTAGTAGATGTGAATGTACAACCTGCTTACAAACACAGAAATTGTCCTCCTCTGTTTTCAAATGTGACTTTAGAGTTTCGTATTTAAGTACCAATGTTCAAGATCCTGTTGAATTTTTGTAAGTTTGAAGGTCCTTTAAAAACCCAATGTGCTTTAGAAAATAAATCTTAGGCTGCTCAGGTGGCATTTGCATAAGTACTGAGTCTTAGGGGAGTACCTGCTGAAGTTTCAGAAACTTAAGCTCCCCTGCGCCATTCTCCCATTGGTCAGACTGTTTTGCAGGTTATTTTAATCTAAATAATAAGTCATACTGTGTTTTAGTTGGTAAAACTTGCAGCAGCCATGCTCGCAGTGGATAAAGTTGGGCTGGGGGCTGAAGAGTTCATTAGTGCTGTCAACCTCAGAGAATGGAGAGCAAATTTTAGAAGTTTAGTCAGACCCACTTAATTCTGTCTCCTTAGCAAGCTTTTCTATGTCTGAAATGAGAGCTTTTCAGTGATAGAAGTGGGTTGCAGGTTTCTTTGGGTTGGGGCATCCACAACATGTCTGGGCAATCCATTCCAGTGTTTTGCCACGTTCATCATAAAGAATTTTTTCCAATATCTAATCTAAATCTTTCTAGTTTAAAACTATTACCCCTTGTCCTATCCCTTTAGGCCCTGGTAAGAAAAACAAAGACAAACAAACAAACAAAAAATATCCAAAAATCTCCTCTTTTTGTCTTTCTCATAAGTCCACATTCAGTATTAAAAGGGTGCAGTAAGGCCTCCTGGAGCCTTGTCTTGGGCAGGCTGAAAACCCCCAACTCTTATCAGCTTTTCTGTATGGGAGAGGTATTCCAGCCCTCTGACCGTTTCCATGGCCCTCTTTTGGACTCATTCCAATGGACTCACGTCTTTCTTATGTTGTGGGTCCCAGAACTGGACGCAGCACTCCAGGTGGAGTCCCATGAGAGCAGAGCAGAGTGGGAAGATCACCTTAACCTTCTGGCCAAGCTTCTTTTTATGCATCTCTCCGCAAATCACTTTTCGTTGCCTTTTTTTTTTCTTCCTTATTTATCTCCTTAAGCTGTAAAGACCCTGTAAATGGCATAGTTAACGTGCAGCATCAGTGCTCAGTATTGTCAAACACAAATTTCAATGTGTTTATCCAAGTTAGACACAAATCCAAGGAAGGACAACCATATTTTCAACTTAGTGGTAGCTGAAGATACAGCCCATATTGTAGGAGGTGGGAGTCACATGCTATTTCCCAGTAGTGCAGAGGTAAAGCTGACTAGTTGTGGAGTAATCACTTCATTTCCGTAACATATTTTGTGTTCTTTCTGACTACAAGCTGAACATTAGTCAAATGTCTTACCAGTTAGAAGTTCTTGCTTTTCCATGAGGGGCAAATAATAACATTTCTTTCAGTCTTCCTTACTGGGTGACATCTCCAGAATTGCTCTGTAACTTAATTAAGAAATCTTGTAGTTTCCATGAGAAACAGAACCTGACATATTTTTTTATATGGGTGTTTATAGGTGTGATCAAATCCTTTCCAATGTCTTCTCAAGCATTTTTGTTTACATCAATCTTCATTCTTTTAAATTTTTTTTCTAAATTTTCTTGCTTTGCTACCTTTTTGCAGTATTCTGTAGTGGCCTGATTTAAGGCTACTGAGAGCGAAGTATTTTTAATAAATGCTGCATTTTACATGAAAGTCCATGTCTTCAAATTTATTCTTTAAAATGCAAATTTTTGATCAGTTTTTATTACTTAGAGTAGATTTTGCAGCCTAAGTAAGTTATAATCCTTATTATTTGGGATATCCTGAAGATTACTATTCCTTCCAAATGAACTTGGTATTTTGAAGAACTGTTGGAAGATGTTGGAATAAAAAAGGTCTGATCACTACAATTATTTCAGCAAAATAAGTTACTTTCAAAGTTTCACTTGCTTACATGTTGTAGAATCCCAAGAAACTGATTACCTTTTTAGGTCTTGTAGAAGAACACAACTCTTTCTTCTTAATAACTTTCAAGAATGCTTGAATTAAATCTTTTTTCATTGCTTAAGTATATACTACTTAGTAACTTTCTGTTTTGGAGCATACATTGAGATGATGTATGAAATCAAATATATTCATAGGTAGATGTTTGCTGATGCATTAACTACTTATCACTTCTTTGTGCTGTTCATCAGTCATTCTCAAATTCAGGATAGGCAGAACAAGAAACAACTGCTATGCAAAATCTGAAAACTTAAGAACCAGCACAACACAGCCAGTGCATTTCTGAAAACTATCACTAGGTTTCCAGATATTTTGGATCTGAGAAAGTGATGCTTCCCTAAGCTCTTCCTCTGTTCCTGTTGATGATGATATCCTGTGATACCCTGGTATAACAAGAGCTTGACTATCCTCTTCCATTTATAGTTTTGGCTAGAAATTAATTTATATGGTGAGAAGTGAGTGTAGTGGGCAGGTTCTATTATTCAATCAATTAGAGGCACAAAAGAGGGAATTAGTGGCTAATGTCACACCTGAAGTAGCCTAAAAGTCTGTGGTCTCAAGGAATGTGGTGTGTTGTCAAGGGTTTTGTCATAGAGCTGTAAGTTTGGCTCCTGGTGTTCCCTGTTCAACCTGCAGCACCCTCCTACATGAAGATGGTGGTGGAGGCAGTCTGTATCTGAGTCAGAATATGCTGCAGGTTACTGCTTTTAGCATTTACACCAGCCTGGCAGAGGGCCTGTTATACCCTTGGTATCTAGTTAGTGTATGGCCCATTCTCCTCCCAACCCCCTTCAGTGGCACATGTGAACAAAGAAATGCTTCAGCATTTCAAACAAGGGAGTTAAAAGAATCTAATAAAAATGAACTTTAGAATTCATGTTAAAATGAACACATGCACACACACCCCCGTCCAGACTTCCACAGGTTTTATGCTCCCATTTTGAAATTTTATGCTCCCATTTATTTAGGTAATATGAAACATTGAATTCAACTCTTAAATGGCATTATATCTTGTTCTACAGCTATTCTGAAGGGCACTCAGGATGAATTAAACAAGAAAGCACTTCAGACTTTGGAGAGGTGAGTAGGAATCTTGCAGATACTTGCATTGCGTATTTCTTTGCATGAATTCAGAATAATTGTTGTTTTTAATGTTTGCGTTTTTTTTCCTCTGCATAAGACTTGCTTGCTTGAAAGTTTAAAAACAGTTCATTAGGTTTCAACAATAGTCTGTCAAAGCCATTCTTGTAATGGTTAAATGTGGTGATTATTCGATTGAATGTGCAAGGTAAGAGTACCTGTTCTGCTACTAAACAGAAATAACCTTAGGCCCAAATTAGTTGCAGTAAGATCTACAGTGCTGGGAGATGCAGCTTCCTCACATGATGCCAGCTGGCAAACATGGACAGCTAATTTTGTCTTAATTCCTGTGGAAGCACTCTTAAACTCCTGTTTCCCTCGTGGTGGGAAAGTACCTTCACCATCGGGATGTAGGCAACTATGGGGTGACCTGGCACCAGTGCACTTACCAGGGAGGGGATAATTGCTGTCCTAATGAGTGTTTACATGAGCTGTTCTATGAGAAGGAGCTACAGAGCTAGCATACAAAACATCACCACTCACCTGTTCTTCATCACTCTGTTTTGTGGGGGTGACTGATCCAATGGCTCTGCCCTGAAGGTACCTGTGAATTAAGCTCTCTTGCAACTACAGTTACCTCAAGTAAAACTGCTTGGGTTCAACCCCTTTTTTGTCAGTTCTGTGAGGTGTGAACAGACAGATGAGGTGTGAACTTCCTGACCCTGTTATGACTAAATTACATCACCCAAAATACACGGTGTTATGTTTGGGTAGTTAATGCAAGTGTCGATGCCTACAGACTTTGGATGGCAATTAAATGAAAGCTTGTATGGTCTAAGTCTTAGGCTGAAGTATCTAATTCTGGGTTTGATGTGATCATAAATACATCACAAAAGTGTAGAAAATTTGAGATCTGTGGTATCTCAAAGTACAGATTTAGCAGATTGAACAATGTTAATGGATCTTAGCTGTTTTTTCTGATGGTGAACAAGGAGTCCAGCATGTTTGTCTTGCACTGGTCTTGCAGTGATTGCAAGAGCTGAAACCACAGATGTAATTATCGATATTTACCCTATGGAGATCTGAGAGATAAAATTTTTAAAAGCCATTTATTCATTCACTATTTAGATCAGGATTATACTTCTAAGTCACGCTAGTTCCTGCACTTCAATGTAATACTTTCACTACTGACTAATTTTGGTGTAATTGTGATGCTGCAGAGCTTTTAAACTGCATTTATTTTTATTCTTTGACCTTTCCCATTAGCTGTGACTTGTTTTCATGGTATCTTAACTCTAGCTAGGAAGCAGACAAGCTTTTAGCCAAGCATTTGTTACTCAAACCTCAGCCAACAGGGATGTGATGGTGAGCTGATTACTAATAATAATAATAATAATGGCCCATCTTCGCGAACGAAGATTTGGGGAAAGGTCTTTTACCTTTCCAGCCTGCGCAATGGATTGTTTAGGTGAGACACAGCCTGCGCTGAACTGAGCCCACCCTTTAATCCTAAGGTTCATCTGCCGGGGCCAAGCAAGCTTGGACAATGGCAGTGAGGTCCTCAGGACGTAGGTTTGTTTAGAGTGTCCTTCTCATAGATGGATGGCCACACAGGGCTAACGACCTCCATCAGGCCAGGAGACCGGGATTTGAACCCGTGGTCGCAGCAGTGAAAGTCCTGCACGCTAACCACTAGGCCACCAGGGGTCTCTGAGCTGATTACTAGTGTTCTTCTAAATGCCTGAGTTTGGTTTCTTTCTTTTTTTAATCTTCCTTGTTTTTCCACATGTTTTTGAAGTACATATATGATCTCTCAGGCCATGGTTTGGCCTGTAGCCATCTTTGTAAGGGCCCTTTTCAGCTGGAAGATTGCATCAAATGTTTTTCTAATTCCTTGAGGAAATTGAGCAGTAAAGTAACAATCCTTTGTTTCTTTTCAAAAGCACCATTAATCTCTTCTGCTATGCTCTTGTGAACTTTTCCCTGGTATTTATTGCTGGAGAGGCTACTGAAGGTTTCATGGCAGTTGCTTTCTAAAGAGGTGGCTCACCCTGCTCCAACAGCATAGGGTAAAGCTGGGTTCTATCTTGTGGAGTCTTGTTATTGTTTGGTTGGATTTTTTGGGGGAGTTGTTTTTGTTTTGTTTTGTTTGGATTTTTTGTGTTTTTTGAAGTGGAAGTGACTTATCTTCACTAATTGCACTTGGATGTCTTTGGCATTGTTTCAGAATCGTTGAGTGCTACCTTGACTTGCAAAGTTACAGGACAGATTCAGTCCATACTAAACTAATTTGTTCTAGAGCCATTAGTTATAAAAGTCAACTCCAACAGCTTCTTGCTCACAGGCCAAGATGGCATTTGAGAAGTGGCTACCCTGAAAGTGGTGTGTAGTTTGTTTCCTGAAGTAATTTTTTTATTCTTATTTGCTTATTTGTTTTATTATTAGCAAATTAATAGTTTCGTCAGGGTTTTTAAGCACCAGTGTTGTCAGCATGTCATTTCTCCCTCATAAGAACATTAATTGTGCTCACTTTGGGCAGGGCAATGCAGGTGCAGGCTTCCCTGGTGTTCTGGAATACAGCCCAGAAAGAGGTCAGGAATGTCAGTTGGCTGCGAGGGACTTTCCTCTTCCCTATTTCTCCCATGTGAAATTACTTCCCTGTAATGCAGAGCTATAAGTGAGCTCTGTGAGTCAGAGAGGGTATAAACCACTAGTTCCTGGACTGGGCTACCAGTGTGGCGTGAGCCAGTGCCCCACATTGCTTCTAGGTTCCTCAAAACACTATCCTTTCATTGACTTGGTTTATGGCTTCTCCATAGGCTAGCAAACTCAAGACTGCAGTTCCGTGCTTAGCATAGTCTCAGAGGGGACAGTTCTGCCCAGGCTGTCCATCCTTGTTCCCTGCCTTACACTGTTAAGGGCCTCCACATGTGGTTCTGGAGACACTGCAGCCTTCACTAGTCAAGGGATCACTGCAATGTACGCTGCCTGTTGTGGACTAGAAGATAATATCTCAGAGTCTAAGCTTGAGAAGTAAGAGCCTTGGTTTTGGTCCAGGCACAGCTCCTGTCATCAAATCATTCCTCCCTCAGTGTCTTCCTTTTCCAAATTAGGAGTCTTCTGTCAACGATTAAACTGGAAGCTGCAGGGTGGAGAATGTTTTGCGTATTTGAGCACCAGCTTCTGTCACAGGCTCCTGATCTTTAGTCCTCTGCTCTGTAGTTCCTCTACATGCTCATAGTCACAATAGTGACTACTTTTCCCATGCTAATCTAACCCTCTTCTTTTGTTTGAACAAAAGTGGCAGTGTAGGAACAAGTTGGACAACTATGTGCATCACCTATATATTACTTAACAGAATGCTCTGATGGGTTTGTTATGAGCTCAGAGCTACTTTTCCCATATTAGTTATCCAAGTTCCAAAATATTAAGTGGCATTTAATGAAGGAGCACATAAGTTGTATAACGTCCTGGCAGTTGAAGTATGTTCATAGGAACATACTTATTCCTGTGACTCTAGCTTAGCCAGGACAGCATTGTTCTGCTTTTTGTCTAGTTTCAGTGTGCTCCCCTGTTACTGGACTAGTTTCTGTGGGGGAAGCCTGGGTTTTGTTTTGTCCTTGTGTGTAGCTCATGGTGAAGAAATTCTGCAAAGTGCAATCTAACAGTCACTTTTCTTTTTGTGTTGTGTGGTCGTCCTTGAAGAGCACGGGACTTGGCCCCAGAAGATCACCAAATCATCCTCTACCTATCACTGCAGCTGGCTCTTGTCAGACAGGTATGTGCAATAATTGGAATTCACTTAGTTGTGAGAGGGTGGAAGGACAGTACATTGGAAGGACAGTTGAACAAGACCCAGGCTTGCTAAACAGGGTCCCTTCCTTCCTACATTATAATCAATCAAGCAATCAGAATATGCTTATGTAAAATATTTTTTAATTCGTATTTTTAAAATAGTGATTCTATAGCACATGGAATGACCTTTTCTAGGGCACGTGTTCAGCTCCAACTCCTGAGCAGTCTTGGAGCAACTTTGTCTGTGTGGGTTGAGCGAGGTGTGTTTATTCCTGTTCCCTGGGTATCATGCTGTGTCCTGCTGCAGGCCGCTCCAAAGCCTCTCTCGTTACTGCCCGATTCTATATCATGCCAGATCGCACGCTCTCTGCACTGGGGATTGCTTTATTCCATACTTGGGCACGTTTGACGTTAGGCTTTGACAAGCGTTGGAGCTCTGCAGTGAGTGGGATTAGTTGGCATTTGAATGCTGCTGCAGGTGTTAACTCATAAAAATTAAGCTGATAAGAAAATACTTTGCACTGCCTTTCAGGAAAAAAACACAGCCATTTGGGCTGTGTTTTATTTTTCTGCCACTTCTTAAAATTGGGATGTGTTTTATTTCTCTGTCCCTTCTGTTTAAAAGCCAAAGTCTTTATTGGAGCAGCCTCTATTTTTTAAATGCCTCTCTAGCTAGATTTGAAATTTCTTCATCATAGTTTCCTTCTTTGTCAGGCTTTCTGCTTGCTGCAGTTTTCTCTCCTTAGTCTATACTACAGAGCTGAACAGTTGGATCCTTGCTTTCCTGAGCTAATTAGGGGAGTTGTGTGTTCATTAGGTTAAACTAATTGTTCCAAGAGAGCACCCTCTTGATAATGTCACTTTTGTAACCCTTTCATAATGAGAGCAGTGTGTTGTGAGAAAGCATGCAATAAGAAAGGATAATTAAAATGGCTTATTTAACTTTCTCATCTGCCTACTGGCTGCTTTATGATGCAGTTTGCTCAGGGTCTTTCATTAAAAAATATCCAGCTACCCTTCTTTCTCTCACAGCTTTCGCCTCTTAGGGGAGATTGTCTGATCTGCTGATTCTTCTGCTTCTTGCCATGAGTAAAAGCATTACAGATTTTCAGCTGCTGTCCTGAAAAATAAAATCAAGATTTTTGTGGTCCTTGGTTCTTTGTTGTTTTCACTGTTACTGGTCCACTGCCTTTTAAGTTGTTACCTTTTGTTTTTTCTCTGGTTGCAGCCTGTCTTTACAATGTTGTTTCATCTGTCTTATTTATTCATTTCCGTTCCCTTCTGTTCTTACCATTAAGTCTCTCATCCTCATGTTCACTTTCCTCTTTTGTCTACTTCACCTGTGTATTTTCATCCTTGATGTTCTGCCAGTTGCCTCTGTTAGCATAGCTCTATGATCTAAGTGTATTATGTAGTGTCAGCCTGACCCCTGCGATACTGCTCTTGCTCTTCTCCCATCAAGTGAGCTATAAATCTTTAACACATGCTTGGAGAGAGAGGAGATACCTGAGACATCCTTATTTTTAGACTGCTGTAAAATATCCTGCTCTTCTTTTGCCAGTTTACTTAATGATAAACATTTGGTAATGCATTTTTAATATCCTTAATTATTTAAAGTATCTAATATATTCTCTTTCTGATTAACTGAAAGATAAATGATACCTTTTTTGATAGATTGCATTAACTATTGAACATCACAGGGCTTTCATCAAGCAATGCTACAGTACTAACAAATCAGGCCATTTCTACATAGTAGGTTATAGTATAATACCTGAATGTTTTTCTCAACGAATAGGCCTTTTTGTTTCTGTAGTCAGAATCAATAAAGGAGGTAACCTTACCCAGCGCTGAAAAATCTAGGTATCAGCTTGCATAGATAAGAGAGTGTTTTCATGGAACAAAGCAAGGGAGGTAGCTGACCAGTAGACTGCCAAGCAAAGCTGGAGCAATTCATCTTCCTTGGAAGGCTGTAAAATATTTCCAATAGCACTTGTCTCTGTCACCACTGGGCAAGGGAAAGGGGAAATGGAAAAACATAAGCTTCCCTCTGACATACGATGAGGATGTGACAAGAGGAGGAATGGTTATGAAAGGTTCCTGCAGAGTTGGCAGTTGAAACCAGCAGCAACCAAAATGAAAGATGATGATGATGTGCTTTGTGCTTGTGTGTGTGTGTGTGTGTGTGTGTGTGTGTCCCTGTGTCTTAAAGACCACTGGAGTCACTGGGAAGACTCCAGTGACTCCTGGAGGGTCTAGGTCAGCCATACAGTGTTTTAGGGTGGATTTTTCAGCAAAATGCAGGGTAAATACCCTCTTCTGTAAGGGAGGTCTCAGTCTGATTTTCCCCCAAAGTTGAAGTGCCATGAGGTCAGTGTCTGCTGCAGTGGATATCTCCACCTGCAGTGCCTGGCTGGCAGCCGGCCGAGCCAGTCGACAAATGAAACTTGTAACTCCCAACTCCCGGCAGCTGGTTCGGCTGCTTCTCCTGTTTCTGTGGTAACGGCATTTGGATCAGCAAAAACAAGGTAGAATGAACATTTTAAAGCTCACTGGTTTTAATGCCTTGCCTTGTTTTTTAGCAGGCCAGTTTCTATGGAAATGACTCTAGAGAGTCAGCAGTGTTCTTGTTAATTTTAAACGTTGATTCCCTTTTCGTTTTGGGGGTGGTGGTGTTTTTGACCTTGAATTCCATGTAAATCAGTATTGAATACATAAAAACAACATTTGTAGGTTTCATACCATTTTAATACTTGATCTGATTTGCCCTTTCTTTGCGTGAAAATAGAAAGGGAAAGACAGCAAGGGGTCAGCAGCTGAGGATTGGAAATCTCACCAATTTCATGTGGGCTTCCAATAGACCTCAAGTTTCAAGTGGCAATATCCAGAAAACACCTACTTCTTTCCAGAGTGTCTGGATCTAAAACTGAGATAAACATCAGTTAAGAGACCAGAGAAAATATTTCAGTTATTTTTTACAGTTTTTATTTTGGTTTTAAGAAGGAGAGACTGCTGCCTTTGGCCCAGAAGGGGAACTCTGTTTTAGTAGGTATCAAGAGATGCTTCTTTCAGTGACTACTTGGATATGGGTAGTTCTGGTCTCTCTTTCTTCTAGACCAGCTAGTGCCTCTTTGCTGAACAGCAGCATGCTGCTTTTCTGCCTACATCCTAGCCTAGACTTTTCTGGTGATCAAAAATGGCTTGTAGTAAGAATTAAATAATAATGTGCAGATGCGTCTACTCCTGTTTTCCTGAAGTTCTGGTGGACTGTAGCAAGTCTGTTTTCAATGGAAGCTCTTGCCAGTCGATAAAGCTGTCTCCTTTCTGTAATCCCCATGCTATAAAAAGAGATGGAGTGGGTTGTTTTAATGGTTAATTAAGTGTAACTGTCAACTGATGTGAAATTACAAGGCCTGAAAACTCCTCTCTACAAGTTTCTATTTCATTTACTGTTTTAAATATGCAAGCACATTCTAGTGTTGGGAATTATTTTTAACACTCACACTGTTTTCCTTTTTATACCTATAATTGTAACATCCCAACATTGTTTTTAAGGAAATATATAGCATTATTGAAATAAATCCTATTCTCTGAGAGGCAGCCTAAACAATGCATGTTGTGGCATTATTTTTGGTAGTGCTGCAAGATGCTATTTATGGCCTACTGCGGCATCTTTGCTTCCTGATTGGTGTGATGTGAATTTACCTGTGTGCCATGCAAAACGTGTGATATATTTGTTAACAGAAAGATAAATCAGGGAAGTGCAGCATCTTCTAATTGGAGGCCCCACTTGGACTTGGAGTCCAGCTGAAATAAGATTACTTTAAAGCTCAGCGCTTGTAGGGAATTTTAAACTGGCAGCCTACCTCTGATAAAGCCCTGAAGTTTCAGGGTGCCATTTGGGCTGCCAGCTTCCAGCTTTCTCATATTATACAGTTACTTAAATAAAAATACCTCTTTCAAAAGAAGTTTGCTTTGACTGCTGCCAGACATCTTGCTTTTGTTCATCTAGAAATTGAATTTGTATTTCATTGCTTCTGGTCTGTTGCAGGTTGTTGTTTCATATAATGGTTCCCATAAAGGCATAGAGTTCATATAATTAAAAGTTTTTTGTCCAGTGTTTCTAATTATGCAGCAGAACGTTGTAGGCCACTAATGGTCTTAGAGCACTAAGGAATCTTTCTGGACTCAAGTTAAAAAATTAGTTGCCAGGGAAGCATAATTAAATTTCAAAACCAGCCATTGCCTGTGACTCCGATGGTACTAGAGGGAAGCACTGAAATGAGATGTAACCATTGCAGGCCCTATACTACAGAACAGGGGGAAATTATTTTAGATTATGTCTATTTCAGCAGTATATGACTGCCTGCCAAGCAGGCACAGGTTTGTAGGAGACCACAACTGACTTTTGTGCAGCTTTATTTCATGTATGTTGCAACACAGTCAGAGAGCTTCTTTGATGGCAGGCCTCTGTTAGGGGTATGGACTTGCAGTTGTGTGGCTGTAAGTCCCTTGCAACACATAGAACAAAGTCTGTGACTCAGTTTGCATGTTCACATGCAAGTAGGTCAAGTACCCTTACAAATTTGAAGCCCCTCACTAAAGACACTAGTTGCAAGTATTATTCTTTGTCTGATTCATACTAGCAAATTAGGATCACCTTCCCAAGTTTTGGAATCATAGAATAATCAGGTTTGGAGAGGAGCTCTAGAGATCACCCAGATCAATCCCTGCTTGAAACAGGGTCAGCTGGAACAGGCTGTTCAAAGTCCCCTCCAGTTGTCTCGTTTACAGGTTTTCTTTTTCTTCTAATGAGCTTACTTTTCCCCAAGCTTATATTTTCTTTATGACTACTTGTGCAGGTCTGAGAGAGAGGAATAGAAAAAATAGGAGGTGTTTTTAGTCCTGAGTGTAAAAAGAGTCTTGATAGCAGCTTTGTTTTAGCAAGTCAGTTTATATATCTCTGGTATATCTACTGAAGAGCTTTGTGGACAGCAGATCTGGGCCCACAATAGTTTTCATGCTTGTTGTCCTGCTTCCAAATTGTCTTGTCATTGCTAGTATTTTTACATTGTATAAAAATGTATTCTGGTGAGCTGCTGGGGGAACACTGGTGATTTAAGCCAATGCATTTACCTTTGCAGTAAGCTATAACATGTGGTTAAAGTAGCTCCACTGACAAGCAGTAATTCATTAAAGCTGAGCACTCAGTCATGTATCCCAATCTGAATCCAAGCCAGGACATTCAGCAGTTTTGACACTGTGGGCCAGATGCCAGTTTGGGGTTATGTCTGGAGCAGTCACACTGATCTCCAGGCTTGCATGGAGTCACCAGTAATAGAGTAGTTAAGTACTATGGCTCACGTATGAGCAGCAAGAGTGAAATGTCACTTGGACATTAGGATGAAGTTGTCCCACGAATAGAATATATATAGAATCATAGAATCATAGAATCAGCTGGGTTGGAAGGGACCTCCGAGATCATCAAGTCCAACCCTTGATCCACTGCCGCTGCGGTTACTAGACCATGGCGCTAAGTGCCACATCCAGTCTCTTTTTAAAAATCTCCAGGGACGGAGAATCCACTACTTCCCTGGGCAGCCCATTCCAATGTCTGATCACCCCCTCTGTAAAGAAATTCTTTCTAATATCTAACCTAAACCTCCCTTGGCACAACTTGAGACCATGCCCTCTTGTCTTGCTGACAGTTGCCTGGGAAAAGAGACCAACCCCCACCTGGCTACAACCTCCTTTCAGGGAGTTGTAGAGAGTGATGAGGTCTCCCCTGAGCCTCCTCTTCTCCAGGCTCCCAGAAGCATACCTGGGATCTAGATAATCAGCAACTTCTGTTGTAGCTGCAGGCAGTGTAATTGTTGCTTTTATTAGTTATGTGCTACTTGTTTTTGTGAGAGAGCTGTGGAGGCGGTGGGAATTTGTCACTGGTGGTATGCCAGGGTAGAAAAATGTCTGCAAAAGTTTGCTAGGTAGGAACTTCTCATAGTAGGGAAGAAGGAACTACATTCTCCATCCATTAAGAGAAGCAGTGGGAAAGCATACATGAGGAAAAGAAATTTATACATTTTCATGTTTTGTTTTCTGCAGATTTCCAGAGCCAAACACAGATCTGGAATAATGTATGTAATGGTAATTTCAGACACTGGAGAATCTTAAAAAAAATCCTCTGCATAAAACTTATTGGTAAACAAACAAAAGAGAATCTGCTAAGAAGTTCCCTTTTGAACAGATAGCCTAAAGTAGTGTACTGGATCACAAAGAGCATGTGATATACTTGCATTCATTATAGATGTTAAGTTTTCTGCCAAATGAGACTTGGTTCTAATGACATGCTACTGCTGTGAGTGTCAGGACTGCTCTTTATATCACTGCTTGCAAAGATATTTCTTCTTCTGACAACATTTTAAATCTCAACTCTTTTACCCTTGAACATTCAAACTCAATTTTTATGTTCTTGATCCAAATCATGAAAGGCTTTGTACAGCTATTACAAGAGACAAAATACAGCAGAAATATGTAATGCTCTCCCCCAGGTGAAGAGCCAGCCACCCATCCTAGAAAATGGAGCTGAGAATTGGGCCTCTGTAGTGCATCTGTTTACAGCATAAAGTCACCAATCCAAAGTAAGAGGGGGTTGATTGGATCAGATCTGCTGCTCTTGTTTATAAGCAGTGATTTAGTAATGCTGCAGACTCCTTTCTCTAGAATGTTTGTTTTTTTCAAGCAGTGCAGTCTGTTAATTTTGGCAAACTGTTTGAATAGTAGAAGGCATCTAAGTAGAATTTCTTCAGAATTTGTATTTGTTCTTATCTTTGAGGTATAAATGTAGGACTGAAGGAGTACTGAGTTCTCTTTTTATTTCTATGCCATCTCCTTCTAGATTTCAGATGCTATAGACCATCTTCAAGAAGCCCTGCAACTATGCAAAGATGACATGAATTCACTTCACCTACTGGCCCTCCTCTTTTCAGCTCAGAAGCACTATCAGCATGCACTGGATGTTATCAACATGGCTGTTGCTGAATACCCAGAAAGCTTTAGGTAAGAGTTACTGCCTCATAAGATACATCCAGTCAGGAATGATCTGCTCACTAACTCTGTTGTCCTCAGTTATGCACAAGGAGCCTGTTAAATTAGGTGTGCTACAGGTGTGCACTGTCCTCCTGGGTGCACTGTGCAGCTAAAACATGTTCAGGGTATTCTTTTGACTTTGTCTTCATGGTCTTTCTGTTTTTGAAACTAATCCTTGTGCTTGTTTGCTTTTCCAGTATTTGTCTTTCTGTATTGTACTGATGATATTGTCTCCCATGCATCTCCCTGTAGTTTTTATATTTCACTTTACACATGGAGAAATGAGTGTGAGACAACTATGATGATCTCTGTTTCACAAATAATTTTATATTTGGTAAGTTCCTGGTTAAGAACAAACAAATTTTTCTTGCATTGACCATTGCTTTGATGCTCATCTATGGCACAATTTGCTACAATAGCACAGCTGAGGAAAAAGATCAGTTGAAAATCACAAGCTGTAATAATGTAGAGCTGAAAGGATGGTTTGCCTGCCTAAGAGCAGGTCTGAATCAGCACAGACTTCTTGGAGCCAAAGGCTTCCACTGTTCTATGTTTGACTCAGACCTTCATCCATCTGAGGGAGGTAAATTGAATTCCATGCAATTTACTGTCATGACCTTTCAAAACAACAAATTTGTCTGTTCTGTACAAAAATTAAAGCTTCTGTAATATTTTCTGGTGATTGCATACCAGCTGAGTTTCTTAGCCAAACTGCAGAAAATCCTGTTGCACTGCTGGAAGACCAACTTCCATTCAGAATTGCCTGTATTTAAATGACATTTTAAACCCATGAGCATTGTCTTTAGACAGCCTGGATTCTCAATGGAGAGAGGGAACAATCTCCATAAGTGTAGTCCAGTAGTCAGGTGGGATATTTTCTGAACCAGAGCAAAGGAAGGTCACAAGTAAGATCAAGACTGTCTAAATGTCAGCTTGAATGCTTTAGGATCTTTTAGAACTATGGTGCTATATCAACATATAATGCTTTTTATTGTTAGCTGCATGTTGCTATTTAAAATAGCTTTGCTGCCTGTGTTTTTGAGGTTAGTTACTTTGTGTACCTGAGGAGCTAAGACTGTCAGTGCACATCTTTGAGAATTAAGTGAAAATTAGAAATGGAAAAGCTCTTAAAATGATGCCAACATCTCTTTCAGAGTGTGAGCATAGGTGTAACTGAAGCAGGAAATAGCCCAGTGGGTGCTAAATTGTATTCTAGCATTTGAAAGTAGTAAAGATAGTGAAAAAACCCTCTTACAGTCCAAGGTGACATTGTGCAGTCAAGGGTTAGATGTTCATTGAGGACTATAGACACTTAAAGATACATAAGACAGAGGTGGCTGAGGAAGAAGAGGTGGTATATGTCAGGAAAAGAGTATTCGCCATGTCCAGTTGACCAGCTGGTCTGTCAAATCCTACATCTTTACTCCAGCGGTTATGATAATTTATGTTTCAGGGGAGGACAAAACATAGAAAACATGGTATGCGAAGTACTTGGAGGATTACTGGGTTGGTTGCCTTTGTGCTGTCTGGTAATCTGATTTCCCCAAAGCTGAAAATAATATTATCTCTTATGCTTCTATCAGTGCCAATCCTCACGTGCAGAAATACCTTGCCAGGGAATAGCAGAATAGGCTGTTTTTGACAAAAACAATTAGTATTGGTAGTGCAGCCACAGGTTCATGCTTACTCCTAAACACAGACTAGCTAGAGTGTGTGCCCTTGGAAGGGCCCCTCTTTGCTCCTTTCATGTGCAGTGGTGTGTGACACGGTTGACAGTGAGACTCATTCACAGATACACACGGGTGCAGGAGTAGGGGCTGGCTTCTTGCCTCTGCTACTGTGACTACCCTCTGTCTGTATGGGTCTTTCTCTATACCAGCCAGCAAATAACTCATGAGTGAAGGAACAGAGAAAGAATATAGATTTGCAAGGCAGAAAAAGAATATTAAAAAAGAAAAAAGTGTTTCTGAAAAAAAGCATGGGAATCCAACGAGGAAGGGAAAAGCAAGAAGAGTAACAGACAACATCTATAGTTTGTACCAAATCTGAAACCATTTCAGGCTTTCTAGTACGATTTATGCTAGAAGGGCTTTACTGCTTTGTAAAATCTCTTTGAAGGGAGAAAGACCTGATGCTATTGTGTATCTCCAGTTGTTACTCCCTTATAGAAAAGTGCTAATAAATTTTACTACTGTATGGAATGACTACAAGATGTTTCACGTAAATAGTGTAGGCAAGTTCAACTGCATGATTTAAAAACTGTATTTAAAAGTGGTTGATTATTTTTCCCAATTCACATTTATATGAACCAGGCTACTGTGTAATGTGGTGCCTGGGGGCTCCCTTCCTAATGACAACTCTTTTTGGAAATAGAGTTTGATGGCATGTATCAAGAAAGGATGATGAAAGCTGCATTAAGGGACCTTAGGGCTCTGTAGATGGCAAAAACCCCAGAAACATTGCCTAGATGTATATCCTAAATAAAAGAAAGCGTACTATGTAAAAAATTAAGGGCTAGCTGGCCCAAACAGCAGACGATTTGTTCTGTTTCATTGGTCTCTGTATGTAATTAAGATGAGTTTGTTTTTATATCAAATCCTTTTTGGTTTTGTATTAAATTCTTTAATTAAAAATTTTAAAGAAGAATTTGTTCAGGATAGTTCACGTGGTTGGCTAGTGGCTGAAGCAATTGAAAAAAATATACTGCCTTGCTCAGCTAACACACAACATCCTTTGACATAGACCTCATAATACTGACCCAGATATATGTGAAAGTGTCCCTTGTTCATGTGTTTAAACTTAAACATTTACTTCACATTTCAGAGATTGCTGTGGTGCATAGGGAGGAGGGATGCAAAACCTAGGCACTGAATACAGAGAGATGCAGTGTTTTGGATTGAGCTTATGGAGAGCTGAATATCCAAAAAGCACAAAATGAACTTGGCAAGATCACTTCTTGAAAGGTGGCATATAGTAACAAATCCATTACATTGCAGTCAGTGAATGACTGAATTTGAACACTTGAATGTACTGTCAAGCAGTGACAGAGGAAGACTGCATAAAGGAAGAATGAGAGCTATCTGCATTGGACATATTGCAAGCTGGAGTGAACTGGAAGAAATACACTACCTTGCTATTACTATAAAAGACAGAAATAATAGCAACCTTTACATGGAAGTTATCATCTGAAGAATTGCTGACACCTATGGGGGGAGACTGCCCAGGATAAAACTTAATGTTTTTACATCCTGTCAATGATAGTGTGCTTTCAAAAGCAGTTAATGAATGCAGCACCAACAGTTGGTTTTGGTATGTATATTAAAGCTCTGTCTTCAGCCCATTTGGGTGAGAAGATAGCATTAGGTGTCTCCCCTCAAGGTCAGTATTGCTAATCATAAGCCTTCCTTAAGATGGATTCCTTCAATTTTTTTCCATCTCAAAGACCAGCCTTTTGGTCAGTGTTCTCCCTAAGTCTGGCAGTGATTACCTCCGCAGGCTTGTCTCAGGGAAGAAATAATACTAGTGAGCACCCCTCTTGCCCTCTAGGAGATCTTCTTAAAATAATGCATTGTTTATTTAGAAAGAATTTCCCTTTTTAAAGCCTGTATACACACCTCACAGTGTTCCAGACAGAATTCCCATGGGTCTGGCAGCCTGCAAAACCCACCAAAGAGCCTGTCTAACACGGTCCTTTATCTTCAGCTATTTCCTCCTTCCAGTTTTGCTTGTGTAAAATTGACTTTGCCTCCCTGAGTCATCCACTCTTCCAGAGACGGTTTTGTTCTCTGGTCATCTTTTAGCTCTAATTGGTTAGCTTCCAGCACTGGAAAAAAATTAATGTCTGTACGAAGTCTAAAGCTGGAAGTAGGATATCAATTTCATGGATACTCTATTGCTCCCAGACAGCTTATCAAAACTGTTCTGTTGTTCACGAGCTAGTTTGCTGCTCCTGGATGGCTCTGCATTAACATAGAACATACAATCCTCTGAGATAATGTGCAGCATCTTCTAATTGCTGCCCAATGTGAATGGTGAATGTTTTGTTGAATGATCACGTCTTTATATCTGTAGCAGTTCTGCATATTGCACAGGAGTTGTAACTCTATTAAATGAACAGCTGCTAATATTCCTTCTCTTTCTAAACTGTACGTCACTATTCTGTTGCTTTCAGAGTCTCAAAACTAGTTATAAAGAGAAATAACAGAAAACTTTCGGTAAGCGCTGCTGTTCTGCACATAAAGACTCAAAAAAACCCCAAGTGGGTTGGTGTTTTGGAGCAATGTAGTTGTCAAATGCAGATGCTTTTGTTCTACAAAGATATTTGCTATCACAAAAGTAATTACTGTAAATGTAGTGCAAAAAAAACTCAGAAGGCCAAGAAATATTAAATGTGTATCCTGGAGACTGTCTGTAAAAAAGGAAATAAGTTTCTCATGGGGAATTGTGTATGTTGTCTTGGTGTTGGTGTTGTTTTAGCAGAAATGTCTTTTTTAATATAGCCAGCCCTCAAAATACAAAGTCCACTTCTAGATTAGATGTGGTTTACTGACAGAAAATGTCCTTGACTTCATCACTTCTACATTAATTTCATTAAGGACATATGAAGTAATCATCTGGCAAGATTTATTTGTCATAGTCTGGTGCAGACTTACTGTGGGGAGAGCCATTCTATGGTATATAAGCAATGTCATTTACCAGATGCTTCCACTCACCTCTAAAAAACCCTGATGTAAAATCAGGATCTCAAATGCATGATTAAACTGGCATCTCCAGTTTGAATTCTTTTTCCATTGCTTGTCAGGTTCTTTCTTATATGTGGAAAATAAACAACTCGTGGTTTCTTTGAGCCATATCTTTATGGGCACTAGTAGAGTACTGCAATATTGCTAACAGCAGTAAAGTAGAACTGTCTTCTTGCTACAATCTTCATGGTGAATAAAGAGTCAGTTGTCTCTCAGTTGATGGTTTGC